AGGGCAGGCTAATAGCACAGCCCTGCTGCAGCAGGGGGTGGGCTGAAGAGTTTAGTTAGAGTCAGTGAAGTAGGCAGAAGGGAGCCGCAGTGGGCTCTTGATCAAGGGAAGCCTTGGGGAGGAATTGCCAGGAAGCTCAGATCATGTGGGAAGCAGACTGGGGTACAACCAACCACAGGCACCATGTGAGTTACGTGTGGATCTCAGGTTTTATTAATAGAAACAGGGGTGGAGATCAAAGGAGGTAACGCAGCACACACCAACCTCAGGAAGAGAGATCTGGACGAGGCAGATGGGTGTGACAGCATGTTCAGCTACAGACAGGATGGCCCAAGTAAGGGGACCAGGGTTGAGGAAGGGGAGAGAGCAGAAACCATAAGAGAGGGCGGAGGCGAGCCTGGGATCTGTGACGTTCAAGCAGGAGCGGGGTCGCTAGTGTCCATCACTCAGGGGATCCAGGGTCCAGGAGGCCACTGAGTGCTTGCCTAGTGCCCTGCCCTCCCGGGGGAGATCAGCTCGAGGGCAGGACGGACTCTGGGGCTGGGTGAGGGGTAGGAGTCTAGGAGGGAGCAGGGATGCAGACCGCCCTCTGTTTCCAGTGGCTGGCATGCTGCACCTTCCAGCTCCTTTATCCCCCTTCAGTTAAAAATATTAAGTTATGATTTCCATACTGTAAAATTCACCCATTCTAATAAAAAATTCTGTGAGATTTGACAAATGCATACAGCTGAGAAACTTCCATCTCAGTCAAGAAATTCCCTCATGCCCCTCCGCAGCCCACCCTCCCCTGGCCCCGCCTCTGGCAGCCGCTGACGTGTTCTCCAACGACAGTCTTTTTTTTTCTTGAAGTTTATTTTTTCCCATTACTATTTAGTATATCTCCCCTCCCTGCAATCACCACACTGTTGTCCATGTCCATGAGTCCTTTTTCCTTTTTGCTCAACCCCTCCACTCCCTAAACTCCCCCTGCCCCGTAGCTGTCAGCCTGCGCTCCATCTGTGAGTCTGTCTCTACTTTGCATGTTAGTTCAGTTTGTTCATTAGATTCCACATATGAGGGAAATCACGGTATTTGTCTTTCTCTGACTGGCTTTTTCACTTAGCATAATGTTCTCCAGGTCCATCCATACTGTTGCAAAGGGCAAAATTTTATCTTTTACAGCCAAGTAGTGTTCCACTGTGTACACATTCCACAGTTGTTTTATCCTCTCTACTGATGGACACTTGGGCTGCTTCCAAATCTTGGCGATTGTAAATAACACTGCAATGAACATAGCAGGGCTTCTGTTCTTTTGAGATATCGTCATGAGTGGAATCAGACAGTCGTAGTTTTTGAACCTGGCTTCTTCACTCAGCGTGATGCCTTTGAGGTTCATCCATGTCGCTGGGTATATGAGCATTTCATTGCATTTGACCGATTGCTGAGCAGTGTCCCAGTGTAGGGTGTACCACCGTTTATTGATTCATTTGCTGAGAAACATCTGAGCTGTTTCTGATTTTGGCAATTGTGAATAGAGCTGCTGTAACAGTCCTGTGTCAGTTTTTGTGTGAATGCACGTTTTGGTTTCTCTAGGTAAACACTAGCTCTCCTGACTCCACTTAAACCCTCTTACAGAATGGTGACCTATGTCTACAGGTGGGTGTTGGGAACTGCTCTGCCTGGTTTCAGGAGTTGTAACTGCCCCCCATGGCTAAGGCTGAGTGAGCGACCTCTGGAATGTGAGCTATTAAGGAGACAAAGCTTGTCTCTGGTAGCAAACGCTGCTTCTGTTTCCTCCCTGCCCCCAAAACATGGTCAGAAGTCCTTGACAGGTAAGACCTCTCAGAGGAGGGGCAACCTAAGCCAGACACGATCACTTGGGAGGCCATCATGGAAAGACTTAGGGGGGGGCTGCAACAAAGAGGGAGTGATGGACCCTCGCCCCCTGGCTATTCTGACATAGCCGGAGTCCCCATTTCCATCTGGGAGAAGCGCTTCCTGGCTCTAATCCACTTAAGCCTAAAAACCTATCATGGGGAAGGCAGTGCATCCCCCTGCCGGCTAGAGAGCGGTCCAGGGTGATCACACACAAGAAAGAATTCCTAAACTCCTGTGAAGTCTGCTTTGCTAAAAGTGCTTTCATTCATATGATAAGGGTCCAAGCAGGAAATGAGTATGTCTCCCCACAGGTCAGGACACAAACGCAGTCCCTGGTTAATCACCTGCCAGTAATCAGGAACCTTTGGGACTTCCAGGAAGCCCCTCCAGCCCGGCTCTCCCAAACCCCGAGTCAGTCTGGTTGCAATGCAAATTTTGGCCCCTCCTCTGGTTGCCCGACCCAGACCTCTCCCTGAAATAATTCCCGTTTCAGTATAGCAGGCCCTCAGATAACGCTGTTTTGTGTTCATGCTGTTTCATTATAATGTTAAAAAGTTTGATTCTTAGCTGGGCTACCCTCTGTGTGGAGGTCGTGCCTTCCCCCCATGGCTGTGTGGGTTTTCTCCAGGGACCCTGGTTTCCTCCCCCACCCCAAAGGTGAGCACCTGAAAGGAGCCAGCGTGTCTACACTGTCCCCGTCCGAGCGGGCGGGTGTGTGTGAATGACCTTCAGACGGCTCCGAGCACCATGGCCCAGAACCGGAAACAGCGAGTTGAAACCGAACTCTCTCACACTTGTTTTTATTCATCTCTCTTAAATGTATGCCTAGCTTACATTTACTTCAATGTTTAATATCAGAAGAGCTTTGAGTCACTACTTAGAAGTTTGGTGGTGTTTTTGTGACCAGACCACATGAACTTGTTGATATCAGCCTACAGGAAAATTGGGTCCTTCTACACCGTTTAACTTAAAGTCACAGTTTCCAAGAACCTATGGATGATTCGAAGTGAGGGCTTGCTGTATCTCCCTCTCAGGCCCAGTACCCATCCTTACTTATCCCCGGACACCCAGGGGAAAAAGGCCACCTTCTTTAATCCATCGAAGCTTTCTTTGTGCCCCTTGCATACATTTGCTTAACCAAGAAAGACACCAAGGACCCTTTCTTGAACACGACCTGCGTGGCCTTGCTGGGTTCACCTTAGTAGAGAAATGACTGGACACTGCAATGGAGAGGGAATTTTTCGTCATTACATTAAAACTCATAAATATACAAAAAATGGAAAGAATTAGTTATATACCCATGAGGCACCCTCTAGATCCTATAATTAACATTTCGCTGTATTCGCTTTATCACATACAGTCAATACCCATTATTACTGGATTCCGTATTTGTGAACTAGCCTGTCACTAAAACTCGTTTGTAACCCCAAACTAGTACCTGAGTCTCTTTCATGGTCATCCGAGAACACAGGCAGAGCAGAATCAACTGACGTGCACATTCCCGCTCAGGTGGAACAAGGTGATACTCTGCCTTCTTGTTTTAGCTTCCTTCTTGGAAGCTAGTGTCCTTCTTGCAGTCTACATGGTGCCACACTTTTGTGCTGCTTGTTGGTGATTTCACTGTTTGACTGGCCCCCAAATGCAGTGCTGAAGTGCTTGTCTAGTGTTCCTAAGTGCAAGAAGGCTGTGAGGTGCCTTACGGGCAAAGTACGTGTTAGATAAACTTACAGCTACAGCGCTGTCGGCTGAGAAGTCCACACTAATGAATCGACATACAAGGTGTCTTTGAACACAAGCACACACACAACAAGGTTATGTACTGATTGGTTAATGAAAATGTGAGTAGAAGCTCAAAGGAGGAACCTGACTTGGACTTGCTCTGGGAGCCACGGTTCAGTATTTGCTCGTGTGGTGTTTGCATGGACTCGCCAGGACGACTGTGAACCCCAAGACTTGACCGCGCCTCTCTACCTGTCCACTCACCCAGCAGTCAACGTTATCTTGGTGTGCCTTTCGAAGCACATTGCAGTCATCAGTACCACCTAAACATTTCGGCACACAGATCATTAACTAGGGTTTAATATTTTATGGCTCTTTTTAGTAGAGGGGTCCAAATACAATAAAATGATAAAATCTTAAGTGCACATTCTCTGAGTTTTAAGGAATTCAGACACCGGTAAATCCAGTGTTTAGCATCATGACATGGCAGCATCACTCCAAAATGAAGGAGGATAATTTTAGGCGATCTGCCTCACTATTTATCTAAATATCATTCATCCCCCACCCCCATATGATATATGATCATACTTCCTGGTCACACTCCTCATTTTGTTTAATGGCTCTCTCAAAGTTTACCTAGGAGTTAAACCCTAATATATTTAACCAGCCCCTGTTGATGGGTATTCAGATTAGCTTCTGCTTTCTAGAAACTTGCCCATGGAGGCAGAGGGGAAAGAGCGAAGGGGGGATTTCTAGTGCTGAGGGGAGGGAGTGGAGAAGCACCGGGAAGGCCCACCGAGTATGGCTCCTCTGATCAGCAAAGCTTGCTCCAGTTTCAGGGCCTTGGCACTTGCTGGTCCCTCTGCTGCTGTGCTGCTCTCCTCCAGGCCGGGTGAGGCTGCTCCCCATCCTTCAGCTGTCGGCTCACAGGAGGTGGCCATCCCAGCAACAGTGGCCTCTCTTCCTCTTAGTGTCACTCTTTATTTCCTTTATGACACTGATCTCATCTGTAATTATTATTTTGTCCCTTTCCTTGTTTATTTGCATCCCCTCCCGCTCAGACTGTTATCTTCAGGAGGGCAAAGGATCGTGGCCAGCACCGGCCTGAAAACACAGTAGCAATTCAGCGTGTTTGGGGAATGAATGAATGGTTCCAGGTGCTGGTGTGTGGGGGCCAGTGGGGTTGTCTGGGCACTCCACACAAGGTCTCTGAAAGGTCAGGGGAAAGTCTGGGACTACCTGATCTGGGAGCACCAGGCTGGGGCTCCTCTCCAAGTTGATAATGGCACAAAGAAGGCTCCACGCGATGGGCCCGGATGCCCCTCAGTGTGGCCTCTCTCTCTCACTATCTCTGAGCCCATGGACGGAGCTCAGGAAGCGAACCCGAGACCCTGACGTGGCTCGAATCCCTCTTGAACCCGCAGGGTCTGGCGAGGTGCACGAGGCGCGCAAAGCGCAATCCGCAGGAGGCAGCGGCCGCGATGCCGGACCCCGCGGCACACCTGCCCTTCTTCTACGGAAGCATCTCGCGCGCGGAGGCCGAGGATCACTTGAAGCTGGCGGGCATGGCCGACGGCCTCTTCCTTCTGCGCCAGTGCCTGCGCTCGCTGGGGGGCTACGTGCTCTCCCTGGTGTACGACTTGCGCTTCCATCACTTCCCCATCGAGCGCCAGCTCAACGGCACCTACGCCATCGCCGGCGGGAAGGCGCACTGTGGGCCGGCTGAGCTCTGCGAGTTCTACTCGCGCGACCCAGACGGTCTGCCCTGCAACCTGCGCAAGCCGTGCAACCGGCCGTCGGGGCTGGAGCCGCAGCCCGGGGTCTTCGACAGCCTGCGCGACGCCATGGTGCGAGACTACGTGCGCCAGACATGGAAGCTGGAGGTGAGAGCGCAGGGGAGGTGGGAGCGCCGGGGACGGCGAGGCGGCGGGCCTGGGGCTGGCCGAGGGGGGTGGGCCCTGGGGCCCAGGAAGCAACGATCCGCTCCGCCGACCTGTGCCTTGCGGCACTGCAACTGATTTGGAAGCTGGAGGAAAGGCTAACAACGACAATAAAGGACTTTATTCTTGGATTCCGTTGACATGCTGTTTCCATGAGACAGAGAGGGGCCCTGGCTGGGGGCAAGATTTGGGAGTAGGCCTCTGAGGTAGGGGCCCAAACTTGCAGAAAGAAAGGTAGCGGTTGCCCTAGGCCAGGGATAGGGCAAGGCTTGGGCCAGGCTGGGCGTGGGATTTGAGAGGATGGTGGGAGCTGAGCCCTGAGGTAGGGTGGTTAGTAGGGCGGGTGGCCATGGTCTTTGCTCCCCTGCTTTACGTCAAGGTGCTTGACTGACTACCAGTATCAGAACTTCAAGCCAGAGATGAGCCTGGAGCTAGCCGCTAGGCGGGTTCTGGGCTCGGCTCTGGATGGGCGGGGCCTAGATGGATGGGGAGTGTGGCAGTCGGTCTACAGCTTGAAGGACTTACCCCAGGTGCCCCTTGCACCAGGTGGGCACGGGAGCGGTCTCATGGATAGGGCCGTGGGGAGGGTCCAGGAGATGGAATAGGGTTCCTGTGGCTGCACACTTGACGTCACTTTTAAGTGTCCTTGGCCCTTTCTTCCCCAGGGTGAGGCCTTGGAGCAGGCCATCATCAGCCAGGCGCCCCAAGTGGAGAAGCTCATCGCCACCACAGCTCACGAGCGGATGCCCTGGTACCACAGCAGCCTGACGCGGGAAGAGGCCGAGCGCAAACTCTATTCAGGCTCGCAGACCGACGGCAAGTTCCTGTATGTGGGGACTGGGCCTGGGGCTTGGGGGCAGGTCTCAGTGTGCAAGTGAACCAGGAGGGGTGTGCCTGTACTTCAGGTGAGAGTGGGTGGTGTGTTTCTGAGTGTGCAAAGGGCCTTCCCATGGGAGAGAAGCAGCAGTGTTTAGGACCCACAGCTCATAGCCTTGAACGGAGTCCAAAGTCCACTACTTACCAGCTGGGACGCTTGGCAAGTAGGATGGTTTCTGCTTCATTCTACAAATATTTACTGAATACTTGCTATGTGCCAGACACTGTTTTGGGCACTGAGAACATGGCAGTGAACAAAACAGACACAAATCCCTCCTTGTCCTTGTGTAGCAGAAAGAAAAAAAGATGAATCAATAAAACACAAAGTTTGTCAGGTGGTGAGGAGAGGGTTGAGATTAGGTGGCCAGAAGTGGCTTTTCCTATTGGGTGGCTTTTCAGGGAAGAACCGAAAGAGGTGAGAAGTGAGCGTGCAGCTCTCTGGGAGAAGGGCGTTCTTGGCAATTGGGAATGGGAAGTACCTAGAACAGGAGGTAGGCTCTTGGCAAGATCAAGAAACAGTGAAGCAGCTGCTGTGCTGGGAGCTGAGCGAGGGCTGGAGCAGGAGGAGCTAAGGGGAGGAAGAGGTGACTGCCTCTGACGGCCCCGTGGATGAGAGTGGTACCTCCCCAAGGGGCTGTTAGAAGAATTGCATGAATTAATATGTGTAGAGTAAAAGTATAGTATCTGGCGTATAGTAAAAATGCAATGAATGTAAGTTTTTATTACATGTGGGTGAATGCATGTGTCTGCCTGTGTCTGAGTTACAGCTGAGCCATGTGGCTGTTTGTGAGTTTGTTATTATGAAAGAATCTCTAAAGCTCGTTATATAACCCTCCAAGTGTCTGAGAGCCCTGCTGGCACTATTGCTTTCTGGTCCAGACACAGGTCTCCTTGTATAACAGATGTTACCCAGATGTCAGCCGAGGTCACTCTGGCCTCAGGATCTAGAGAAACGCAGTGCTTGCCTCTTTCCTGTGGCCTCGGAAAGTCCTGTGCCCTCCTCAAAATGTCTTTGAATTCCAGGGCCTCTGTTCTCGCAGCCTGGGTTCCCGCATGGCTGAGTCCCAGCTCCCGTCCACCTCTCCCAGGGCTGTGCCTACAGATGCCCTCAGTTCCTGTCTAAACACAGGATAAAATTGGAGTAAAGTTTCTAAGACTGCTGAGAGAATTCTTGAATGCATGTTACAGATGATGCTTAGAAGCAAGGAAGCCTTTTAAATGACCTAATGTAGGACTGTTTTTCTAAGAGGGTAAACTTAGCCTTGTATTTGTATCACGTAGCTTTTGATATGTAACAGACTGCCCCAAGAGTTACTAGCTCAAAACAACATTTTTTTTTACTTGCCACACTTGTGTGAGTCAGCTGAGCCATTCTCCTGTGGGTCAGCTGGGCTGGGCCTGTATAGGTTGGGATGGCCATGCTCGTATGTCTGGCTGTGGGCCGCATGTCCCCTGAGTGATGGGGACGCACTGGCTGCAGTGCTGCCATTGTCCAGGAGGCCAGCCCGGGCTTATTCAGTGGTGGTGGTTGCAGAGTTCCTAAGAATAGGCACAGAGGGCACGTGAAAATACACAAGCACTTTTTAAGCCTCCACTTGTGTAATGCTACTGATGTCCTGTTAGTCAAAGCAAGTTAAGTGGCCAAAACCAGAGTCATTATGGGAAAAGGGACTGCCCACAGGAGGAATTAAGGCAGCCAGTTTTGCCAGGTCCATCATAGGACTGGAACCAGGAGATCATAATGGAGGTGGTGGGCCTCTCGAACGTGGGTGTTTGGGGCTCCTTCTTTCATTCTGGGCTGTAAACTTGAGGGCAGAGCCTGCACTGGGTGCTTCCAGGGGGCTCCATCTTCTAGTACATAGTGAGGGCTGGTAGTGGTCCAGATATTACTTGTCTTCATCCAGATGCTGCAAACTTCCCATCTCAGGTGTGATGCTCGCTAAGACATCACCCACATGTGGTCACATGATTCGCATACATTCCTATCTCGCTCATGCACACATTCGCTCGGGTGCCAGAGTGTCTGGGGCTCCCTCCCAGCTGGACACAACCAGAGGAGGTTGTGTGACTCTCCTGTTGCTGTAGCTGATTCTTCCTCCTTGCCTCTTCTTTCTCCTTTATGACATGTAATTTCCCCTTTCTTAGTTTTTACAGTCTAGATTTCCTTCCCTGGTTTCATTGCAGGTTCCTAACTCAGCTTTTTATCACCTCAGTTTTTGCCTCCCTTTGGTCTTGGTTTTTGTTTTCTCTTCTCTCCTCCCCCTCTTCCCTTCCTGTGTCCCACATACAAACAACTACTCCACCATTCCAGTGGTGTTAAAAGCACACCCCAGACTGCCTAAGAGCCCTCTGAAAGTGTCAGAGAATTCTAGGGGAGGGAGGAGGTGGAAGAATTGAGTAGAGGGTGGAGCAGGTGGCTACTGAGCTCCCACCCCAGCTCAGCTTTGACCTGTTCATATTTTAAGCTTTTATGGAAGATGTTTGACAAAGAATTCCATTGCCAAAGGAACAGTTTGCAAAGTTTTTTACATTAACACAGGAAAGTTTATGATAAGCTTAGAGTTAACCCATTTATTGAGATAAGAGGAATCTCAGAGAACAAGGGCCAATGGCTTCAAGGAGCTGGTGCTTTGGATATCAAGCTGGTATGAAGGCTCAGAGGCAAGTTCTGGCCACAGGCGGTGAGGCAGCAGGAGGTAAGATCTGGGTACGGTGTAGAGACTGAGGCTGGTGCTGGGTTCAGAAGCAATTGGAGCAGTGACATGATGAGGGACAGTGACTCATGCTGGAAAAATGTCAAGAGACAGAAGCTGTGACAGTGAGCCACATTGCTGGAAAGTTAGGCAAGGGGTGCTTTGGATGGAAACTGTTGTAGATTCTTCTTGTGGTTCCTATAGTCGCTAACTGCTTTCTCAGTGTGTAGATAGTTAGGGGCCAAAGGTCAAAGCTGTAGGTAGGCACCGAACCTCACACACGGCAGCAGTGGGAGGAACATCTCTGGTAGGTCGTGAGGCCTGGGACATGCCCAGACCTGGTCTAGTTCTGAGATCAGGGTGCAGGGTGTGTAGAAAGACCCATACCAGTCAGGTCTGCAGTTAAGACTGGGGCCATGCAAGAGCTATTGAAGAATGGATGGAGGCCCTGGCCAGGTAGCTCAGTTGGTTAGAACATTGTCCCACTATGCCAGCATTGTAGGTTTGATCCCCGACGAGGGCACAAACAAGAATCAATGAATCTCCCTGACTAGTGTGGCTCAGTTGATCAGGCATGGAAGTTTCCTGCAAAGTGAAACGTTGCTGGTTCAGTTCTAGTCAGGGCACATGCCTGGGTTGCGGGTTTGGTCCCGGTCAGGGCACGTTCAAAAGGCAACTGACTGATGTTTCTCTCTGACATCAATGTTTCTTTCCTTCTCCCTTCTCCTCTCTCTAAAAATAAAATAAATAAAACCTTAAAAGAATCAACCAATGAATGCATAAATAAAGTGAACAACAAATTGATGTTTCTCTCTCTCTCTCTGAATTCAGTAAATAAAAAATAAAAAATGGAGGCCTGGATGGTGTGGCTCAGTGGATTGAGCACTGGCCTGAAAATTGAGGGGTCCTTGGTTTGATTCCCAGTCAGGGCACATGCATGGATTGCAGGCCAGGTCCCCGGTTGGGGGCGTGTGAGGAGCAACCGATAGATGTTTCTTGCACATTGATGTTTCTGTCCCTCTCTTTCTCCCTCCCTTCCTCCTCTCTCTAAAAACTGAATAAATAAAATCTTTAATAAAATAGATGGCTGTTTGCTGCCAAAGCTTGCTGCCTTTCTGCATAATTCCAGCACTTGTGGTACTGGTTGATTCTATGTGTAAACAAACTTGACGTCTGGGAAGGGCCTTCAGGAGCATATGATAAGGTGTTAGGTGGTTCCTAACCCCTTCAGGATCATGCTGTCTTTGGGACTCTTACTGAAGCCAGAGCCTCTCACAGGCACCTCCCCAGTGCAGTCAGGTCTGTCTGCATGTGCGGGTGTGTGTGGATGGATGGGTTCTCACTGCACCAAGGCACCATCTTTGAGAGGCTCGATTCCCATTCGTAGTCACAGAAGATACATTTATCTTGGCAAATTTATAGCAGGGAACAATCAAGCGTCTCTTTCTGTCAAAGGTCTGTTTGTTATAATAACTGGCAGGTCTGTTTTGATAACAGTGACTCATTCTAGTTTGTACAAAAGTGTCCCGTGACCTAGCCACAGAATTGTTCTTACCTTTGTTGCTTCATGTAGAAATGACTTTTTCTCCCCAAGAAAATGGTCCTAAGTCTACCATGTGTGGCCAAGTGTTCCCTCCAGACAGCTGAGTGTCACTGTGGATAGCTGTGGATGGTTGAGTGTCCCCTGTAATGGGTTCGGTGTCCCCTTGTGGATGGCTGAGTGTCCACTTGTGGAAGACCAAGTGTCCAGACAAGTGTCCCACCACAGAGGAGCAGGCATCCCTCTGGCTAAGTGTCCAGCTGTGCGGCTGAGTATTTGGTCATGCAAGGTTGAGTGTCTGCTGCTGGAGGCCCGATACTTCCTTGTGAATGGTCACATGTCTGTCCTTGGATGACTTTTTCTCTGCTCCCTGACCCCTGTGCCCCACTGGCCTGGAGATGACTAGTAGGCCTGGAAGTTGAGTGGGGCCTGACTGGCCTCAGCTGCCCCAGTCCCAGCTGCTTCTCCCTGAGGCTCCGTGGGGCCACCAGGGTGTGTACGTGTGGAAACTGGGGCCCAGCTGGGGGGGCACCACAACACAGGCCCAGGTGGTGATTTTTCCTCCTTGTCCCCGCCAGGCTGAGGCCCCGGAAAGAGCAAGGCACGTATGCACTGTCTCTGATCTATGGGAAAACCGTGTACCACTACCTCATCAGCCAGGACAAGGCTGGGAAATACTGCATACCAGAGGGCACCAAGTTTGACACACTCTGGCAGGTGAGCCACCCGCCCACTCTGTTGTGGGGGAGACACAGGGCGAGGTGCTCAGGCTCCCCGGGGGGAAAGGAGTGGGGCCCTGACGGCCCCTCCCGCTGTAGCTGGTGGAGTACCTGAAGCTGAAGGCCGATGGGCTCATCTACTCTCTGAAGGAGGCCTGCCCCAACACCAGCGCCAGTGCAGGTGAGCTGGGCAGCGGGGGTAGGGGGAGCCAGAGAGACTCTCCCTCACTCCCTTACCGTCCTCTCTGTTCCCTCAGGGGTCGCTGCTCCCACACTACCAGCCCACCCATCCACGTTCACCAATGTGAGTCAGCTGGCATCTCAGAGTTGGGGCCTCAGGGACAGAGCTGGTGGGTGGGCCATGGTCCTGTCCCCAGGGTGAGGCTAGGGTGGAGGTGCGGTTGCGTGGTACGGGGGACTCTTCCTGGGAATCCTCAGAGGCTCTGGGCCTCATGAGAGGTGCTGGTACCCTCAGCTTGGGCCCCACTGACTCTTGCTGACCTCATGACCTTTAGACTCAGAGACAGAAGGACACCCTCAACCCAGATGGATACACCCCTGAACCAGGTGAGCTGGCAGAAGTGGAGATGTGTGGTGGGTTTTGTGCCAGGCTGATGGCATGGTCCCTGGCTGGCTCTGGGTGTGTTCAGGGAGGCACACGGGCCTGGCCTGGCCATTGGCAGTTGGCTTGGTTGGCCCTGTGCACATATTGTGCCTACAGACATCTGCACAGGGGCACACTCATCACACCTCTCTGTGTGCATGTACATGGGTGTGCAGACATGCATGGGAGAACACATGCCTGTACCTGGGATGCTCAGGGCACAGACACACATTTGTTACGCACCTACTATGTGCCAGTTACACTCCAAGCTCACTGTGCATAGGAGCTGGTTAGATCCTCCTGACATGCCACAGGAGATAGTCACAGTAATACTTCTCATTCTGTAGGTGAAGAAGGACAGTCACTTTCTAAGGTCAGGCAGCCAGGCAGTAGTAGAGCAGGACTGGAGCCCGGGCAGGTAGGCTCTGGAGGCCACATTCCTAAAATATCTTGCTGCCGATGCTGTTGTGTTTGATGTGTGGACGAAGCCTGTTCACATGTGTGCCCAGAGAACATACATGGTTGTGTGTGCACGCAGAGGCTCGCCTCTGGAGCCCTTGTAACCATGGCTGCATGGTGCCCATGGACACATGGTCAGGCACAGACCTAGGTGCATGCATGTTAATGCACACACAGGTACAGATGTGCACATTCCAGCTGGCACACTATTAGTTACTTGTACATACATGCTTGCCCCCCCAAGAAACATTACTGGGAGTGTACATGGGTACATATGCATGGATACATAGGGGCACACATGGTTACATGTGCAAAGCGATGCACATACCTTTAGCGTCTACTTGGATGTGGCTTCCCGGTGCACCCACAGATGGGACCAGGAGTGCACCTGTGTGTGCAATGCACACACACACACTCATGTGCCTGTACATGCTCTAGGAGGTTCACCCCTGTCCAGGACATGTGCCTTATGGGTACCAAGGTTCTCTGCCCTCCCATCCCCCTGCTCTCTCCCTCCTCTCGACCTGGGAGTGCACTTCTGTGTGTGTGCCCAGCACGCCTAGCACCCCTGGAGAAACCACGGCCGATGCCCATGGACACAAGCGTGTATGAGAGCCCCTACAGTGACCCTGAAGAGCTCAAGGACAAGAAGCTCTTCCTGAAGCGTGACAGCCTCCTCATGGCTGACATTGAACTTGGTTGCGGCAACTTCGGCTCAGTGCGCCAGGGTGTCTACCGTATGCGCAAGTATGGCCGTCCCTGAGGCTGTAGTGGGGGGACCACTGGGTGAAGAGCCAGGATGTGATGTCAGTTTGCTTGGGAAACAAACCTGGGACAGGAAATTGCTAGAGGATTTTACCTGAGAGGGAGTAAGGGAAACAGCTTGGGGCAGGGGAGGCTGGGCTGGGTTGCGGTTGCTAATCTCAGAGGCGTCAGCCAATTCCAGGGGTGTCATAGAGGGGCCCCTGAACCCCTGCATCCACCCGTCGTTGAATGCAGGCTACCCAGGAGAGAGTGTAACTTTGAATGAAACTGCCCTTTTTCAGTGAGGGGCTGTTCTGGGGGAGGGGCCTGGCTGTGCTCTGCCCCAGCGGACACTCCTGGTAGCTGGGGGACTGAGTGCATGGGTCCTGAAGGGAGGTCTGGGTGGCAGACCCCAGAACCCTTTCTACAAGGCCAGGGAGCAGGAGGCAGGGCGGGGCACGCAGGCCGAGCAGGCCTGCGCCGGCTCACGTGTGTACCTCCCTTGTGGGTGTGCATTGTGGCAGGAAGCAGATTGACGTGGCCATCAAGGTGTTGAAGCATGGTACAGAGAAGGCAGACAAGGATGAGATGATGCGTGAGGCGCAGATCATGCACCAGCTGGACAACCCCTACATCGTGCGGCTCATCGGCGTCTGCCAGGCTGAGGCTCTCATGCTTGTGATGGAGATGGCGGGCGGAGGGCCCCTGCACAAGTTCCTGGTCGGGAAGAAGTGAGCCCTGGGCTGCGGGGCCGTTGGGACTGGGGGCTTATCCTGTCCACTGGGTGTGCTGCGCCCAGGAGTGTGCGCACACTCTGCATGTTCATCAACACACTCACACCTACCCCCCGTAGGCCCCGACCTGCACACTTTCGCACCCCAGCACAGAGTCTGACCTCCCGGCCGATGACTATTGAGACCCCAGGCAGGTCTCTATTTGTCTGGGCCTCAGTTTCCTCATTTACACCACAGTGGTGATTTACCTCAAGGGGTCCTTGTGGGGATCAGATGAGTTGCTCTTCGTATTGTAAAGTGCTCAGGATGTGGCTGGCACAACTTGTAAGAGATTTCTAAGTACTAGCACTGGGTATTGTAAAGACTGTCACTCCAGCTTTCTTGGCCAAAGTCATGACCCATGTGAAATTAAGTTGATTGTCTCTGACCTAAAGCAGGATCAGCAAACTGCAGCCCATGGCTTACTTTTGTCTTGCATGGTTTTGCATTTTTAAAAAAGATTTAATTAATTTATTTTTAGAGAGAGGGGAAAGGAAGGAGAAAGTCAGGGAGAGAAACACCAATGTGTGGTTGCTTCTTGTGTGCCCCCCACTGGGGACCTGGCCTGTAACCCAGGCACATGCTCTGACTGGAAGTCGAACTAGCGACCCTTTGGTTCACAGGCTGGCACTCAATCCACTGAGCCACACCAGCCAGGGCTGTTTTGCACTTTTAAAGTGTTGTAAAAGAAAACAAAAACACAAAAATTTGTGGTGGAGAACACATGCAGTCTGCAAAGGCCCCGAGGTGCACTGAGCCTGGTGTGGTGGAGGAGCTGATGTGGGCGGGAAGGTGACAGTGTTGCAGCACCCTGTGGGTGCAGCGGGGACTTGGATTTTGACCCTTAGTGAGGCAGAAAAGCTGTGAGGCCATGAGCAGATGAGGAGGACTGACTCCTTCTGGGGAGGCCACACTGTGGGGGGTGAGGACCGAGGTGAGGACTGTTCTGGTCCAGTGAGTGATGATGCAGGCTGGGCCAGGGTGGCAGAAGCCAGCAGGGGAGAAGCAGGAGGGCCCCGGGGGGATTCTGAAGGCAGAGCTGCCAGGCTGTGCTGATGGATTGGATATTGGGTTGTGAGGAAGGGCTGAGGGTGAGGCTTCCGGCCTGAACAGATGAGAGGATGGAGCTGCTGGCGGGGAGGCAGGAGCCACCGCATGTGTCTGTGTGTGTATATACAACCTTGAGCTTGGCTTCATCCTTACAATCTTTGAGATGCCTGTGAAACCCCCCTGAAGGTACATGGCAGATGCAGGCAAATGATAAGACTGGGAATCACAGTACGTGGGTGAAATTTAAAGCCTGGACCCTGCACGAGGGCAGAGGCTTTGTGTGCTCACCGCTCCGTCCTCAGCCTCATGCCTGGCACACAACAGATGCTTCATGAGCATGAACACATGCCCGGCTGGGTTGGAGACATGGGCTTGGGTCATTTGGGCTGTCCCCTCCTCGCTGACCCTGCCTTCCCCTGCACCCCAGGGAGGAGATTCCCGTCAGCAATGTGGCAGAGCTGCTGCACCAGGTGTCCATGGGGATGAGGTACCTGGAAGAGAAGAACTTTGTGCATCGTGACCTGGCAGCCCGCAACGTCCTGCTGGTCAACCGGCACTATGCCAAGATCAGCGACTTTGGCCTCTCCAAGGCACTGGGTGCTGATGATAGCTACTACACAGTGAGACCCACCCCTTTGGTGCCCGGGTGGGTAGGTGGGTCGGGGCGGGTTCCCAGGCCCTGACGCAGCAGTATCTCCCCTTCCCAGGCCCGCTCAGCAGGGAAGTGGCCACTCAAGTGGTACGCGCCTGAATGCATCAACTTCCGAAAATTCTCCAGTCGCAGTGACGTCTGGAGCTATGGGGTCACTATGTGGGAGGCCTTCTCCTACGGCCAGAAGCCCTACAAGGCAGGCGTGGGCAGAGGCGGGCAGCTGGCTGGGTGTGAAGGTAGGGAGGGTGGGGGCCCTGGTTACTCACATGTGCACTTGGCTCTGGCTCAAGCAGAAGATGAAGGGCCCCGAGGTCATGGCCTTCATCGAGCAGGGCAAGCGGATGGAGTGCCCACCAGAGTGTCCGCCTGAAATGTATGCACTTATGAACGACTGCTGGATCTACAAGTGAGTGTCAGCGGGTGGGAGGGGATCCAGCTGAACTGACCCAGCCTGGGCCTGGGGCAAAAGGGCTTGGTGCCCAATCCCTCAGTCCAGCAAAACTTCCTGGTGTCATCCTGCCCAGAGCTCACCAGTTCACGGTCTCTCCAACACTCAGCATCTTTAGTTCTGTGTCTGTGCTCAACTTTCTAACACACTCGCCCCACAATGCTCCAGGGGGCCAGCACCCCAACACCCTATCTGTAGACCCCCAGCGCTCCAGCATCTAAAACCTCAGTCCCCCAGCAACCAACACGCAACACATCGACTGCGCGAACCTCAAACAAGTTAGTAGCCTGTCACCCAAGATATGGTACCAATTTTCAGGCATTGGATAATACTCCAGCATCTAAGTCCTCAGTTCTCCACCAGCCAACACTCAATACCTAATCACCCAAACAGGCCAACACCAAGTACGCAACACTAATTACATTCAAACCCCAAGTCTGTCTGGTCAAATCGTAATAGTAGAACACCCCAACTCCTGACACGTCAACATCCCAACTTCCCATCAGACAGCAGGCAGCACCGGCCCAAACAAGCTACCCCTGCACTGGTGATGCACGTACGTCCACTCCAGCTCTGGTCCCTTTCCTAGCCTGCCCGACATCCGTTCCTCCTCTGGCCAACACCCATGACCTTGACACCCAGACACCCAAGCAACCGAATCAATAGACACCCTATTTATGATAAATAACACATGATCAGCCTTCCCTACGCAAACATTTGTTAACCCATCTCCATGAGGAAATACGTAATACACCAATAGCCCCAAGCCCAAAGAGGCTAGCATCTCACACCCCAACACAAGGCATGGGTATTCCACACACAGCAGCACTACTACCCCAGCTCCCCACTGGCCAGACCAGCCTCTGCACCCTGGCCTTCTTGTCCATCGTGGGCAGCATACTGACACCCACAGGAGGCCTCCCCGAGCACCCAGACCCCTGACAACCCGGGGCACATTCCACACTCAGTGTTTCAGCACTCGATAGCCCAGCTCCCGTGGTCACTCGCTGTCCGCCCAATGCTCCCTGAGTCTTCACCAGTTAGCACTCAGCATCCTGTCTGTCTGCAGCCCTTCTTCTATTAAGCAACCCTAAATTCTGGTCTCTCATACCAGGGAGACCTTTCCATTCCCCAATACTCCATCATCCCAATAGTCCCAAGATGTCTGAGCCCCCTACATGTGCACCTCCAGCTGAACTTGGGTTCTGGCTGTGTGGTCAGTAGCTTAGATCTGCCCCACTCCCCACAGGTGGGAGGATCGTCCAGATTTCCTGGCTGTGGAGCAGCGCATGCGGACCTACTACTACAGCTTGGCGAGCAAGGCTGAGGGCCCCCCGGAGTGTGGGAAGGGGGCCGAGGCCGCCTGTGCCTGAGCACCAGCCTACCCAGGAGCCCCTACGCCCCAGCTTTTCCCTGGTACCTTCAGTCCCATCCCAGGCCCTGCAGTCTGGCTGGGCCAGCTCATTTCCTCTTCCAACCAGCTGGGCTGTGAAGCAATAGCTGAGGCCTCAGGCCCACACGGGTCTAGCATTCCCTAGAACCTGGGAATCTGTTCTTTCTGGCTGGGAATATGTGCTGGGGTGCCTTGAGCTGAGGGGTGTTGCTTACAACAAAGACCCCCCCCCACTCCGGCCCTGAAGGGGAAGGCTCTGGGAGTCTTCAGGTGGCAAGACCCAGTCATTGGAATAAATTCAGCTTCTCTCTTCTTTGAAATGCCTCATCTTTTTGGGGGTGAGGGTGGGACCATAAAGGGGTTGACAGGAAGTGTCTGAAACAACTTTTCCTGTGTGGGGCTGGCTTTCCCACTTCTCTTCCTTGGGAATGTCTTCATTAGAGTGAGGGGCTGTGGCAGATTGGGGAAGCCAGCGCAGGTGAGTGGGAGCGGGGCTGAGGGGCTGCGTGCACTGCCGAGCCTCAGCTTCCCTGGCTTTGTGATTGCGTGGTAGCATTACCTGGAGAGACTTTAACCCATGCTGACGCCCACCCCTCGGCACTGCTGCATTTTAAAGAGTCTTCAGGCGACTCTGCCGCCCAGCACCCTGCTCAGCTGTCCCACCTTTCTTCCCGGGCCAGGCAGTCATAGTTGGAGTTTTCATCACCTGGTGCCCCACGTTCCAGCTCAGTCCCACTCAGAAGACCTGTCTCCAAACGTTCGTTGCCTCAGTTTCCCCACAGAACCCAACACGTGGGGTGAAATGGAGCCAGATTCCTGCATTTCTTTCCCAAACCAGCTCCCCTTCCTCAGCTGTGACTGCCCCCATCCCCAGGCCCCAGCCAGTGCCTCCTTCTCTTGGCTTGGCCCCCAGAGTGACTGGCCCAAGGGTGGCACCGGACCCACTCAGCACCCAGGAAAGGCAAGGAGCTGTGGCTTCTGGGAAGACAGTTTGTCTCCCTGTTTGTGGAGCTGTCGGGGAGGACCGGGGGCTTCGGCGCTGTGAGGGGCGGGAGGCCCAGGTGGGTGGCACTCGAGGAGGCCGCTGAGCCTCTGTGACCTGCGAGCGCATGACAGCCAGGAAGGCAACACTGAGATTAACTTGGGGGCAGATCTTGTAATTTCACCATTTACTGTTGGGTTTTAATACTTGATACGTAAGGTCCATATGAGCATATTTTTAAATTTTTAATTCCCCATGGAAGCGAATCCAGAGAACCACAGTTGGAACCACTGTCGACTCCAGACACATGCAGACTCTGAGCTATGTGTGCGCATTTGGAGAGTAAGTTGGTAAAGGTTTGGAATTTTCCGAGGGTCTCTGAGCCCTGCCAGACGGTATCTTCCTGCATCTAGATTTAAAACAGACAAGGAGAGCACAGAGATTCTAAAGCTAAAGACACGAATTCAAATCGCTCCCGTTTTTGTCATTCTCTGTTGTGTGGAATGTGAGCACCTGGACCCCTTCCCAAGCCCCAGCTCCCCCTCCCACCCCGTAGGAATGTGACGAAAGCTCTCTGTGCACGTGGACTGTGGGACTTTGGGGACCTGGCCAGCTCCTCGGTCAAGGAATGGCCAAAGAGAAACCTCTCAGATGTGAGCCCGGATTGTAAACAGCTGGCATTTTGACCTCGCACAGCTTGCATGTCCACTCCGCATACCCTGTCCGCTTCGTCTCCGTGCTCTGCGTGGGGCAGCCTGTGCTGGGAAGACCGGTGCTGCGGACACTCCCCTGCAGGCTACCCCGGTGAGCGCTTAAATCCTAGTGAATTTACGTCTTTCGCAGCCAGTCCTCAGGCTTATTTCTTTGGAATCAGCACGTAATACAAGTAATATGCTGAGGCCTTCTCGGATCTCGGCTCTTTGCATAACGCTGTGACCATTTGGAGATTTTGTGTTTAAAATGTAAACCAATGAAGCCTCACAAAACACGAGATATAACAGCTTTAGTTGGAAAATGCACATTAGTTCATACGCGAACCATAATACTGAATTTAAATAACACCATTAAAATGCGAACGCTGTTTTTGACATTGTGTTTTTAAACTAATGAACAAATCAAGAAAAAAACTACATCAATGATAAAGTTTTGTGGCTTCCCAAATTCTGTTAGCAGATAGGTCAGTTTTATTAAATTCATTGTTAGTTACGAGACAATTCACATTATTACAATACATAAAGAATTATATCATAAGAGAAGTAAATTTTCACCCCTGCATTTATTTTATAGTTATCATTAATTATTTCATTTTATTGTTCTTGCTGAAAGTTATTTTATTGAAAGGAGGTTTTAAAAGTGATCCACTCTGGGTGTCAAATACACTGGGAATACTAAGTGTTGCACAGTAAATGTTGAACTAACAAAAGAGGGTGACCACCAGGTGTAGCTACCACCAGGTGCCGCTGTTCCTCAGACCAAGGTCACTCAGTCCCTCTCTTTGGCCCTCGTCTCCCGCCGTGTTTCTGGGTGTCTCTCCCACCTGGAGCACGATTCCAGCGAGGCTCCCTGGTCTCCGGCTCCCCTACCCTGTCCCCATTCACCCCAATCCATTCACCGCAGAAACACTTGCAGGATCTTCCCCAACAGCGGCTTCGAACCCCTTCTCGGGTTCCCCACTCATCTCCCACCTGCCCCCCAAGCTGCATCTGCTCTCGTCCCCGGGTCTTCTTCACAGGACTGAATGACAGTCCCAGGGCCACGCGGCCCTCTCTGAAAAGGCCCTGTTGTTTTCAGTCCTTACACAACCACCAGCCGGGTGGGGGGCTCGGTGTGGCCTGGGCGGTGCTGGTGAACTGAGGTGAAAATACAGCTTTACAACCTCATCCTGAGGTTTTCATATATTTTCTCAAGGCAGGTATTTTAGGGGAGGTCTCAGGGGAGGATCTCAACAGAATATTCATCAGCTTTCCAAGTGTGTTCCTCATTATGCTGATTCATCAAAATGAGCACATAGAAGGATCAGGGGTCAATCTCCGGTCAGCTTTACCTCTGTCTTGGATTTGTCTGGCTCTAGCTGTTTTTTTTTGTTTATTTATTTGGTTAGTTATTTATTTCCCTGATTTCATCTCTTCTTGAATATGGCTGGCAACAATTGGGTCCCTGTTATTTGTCTTCCTGACTGGGGTGATGTAAGCTACTTGTTCTCTGGCTGGGGAGGAGAGGGAAACCCTCCGCTCTGAGTGCCTTTGGTTAGAGAAGAGAAGCTCTTGCAACTTATAGGCTGCCTGCTAATTGCTCAGCTGTTTGTTTCACGGTTTGCCTCAGTTTCCCCATCCCACTTGCCACGGAACTTTCCTAGCTTTCTGTTAACCTGCCTCATCACCATCGACACCTCTCCTTCCCTGGCCCACCAGACGTCCTGATTTCACTCAGACGTGCATTGAGCACTTGCTGTATGTGTGCTTTGGCTGAAGCAGGTGCCTGGGAACCCCAGGCCCTGCCAGGGGAAGGAGGAGGGACCACCTGTCCCCAAAGGCTGGTCCTGGGAATGTGATCATGGGTGGGGCACAGGGGCTCCATGTTGTGCCCCAGGGACTCCGTGATGAGGCTGCTCCCCTTAAACTTTGTGGTCGAGTCTGAGGGGGCCTTGGGTGGGCCCTGGGTATGTGGGGTTGAGGAGGCCTCAGCCCTAGACCCTGGGTTGGGGGGTGGGACTCTTCCCTGGGGACAGAGAGGGTCCTGGACAGGAGAGGGAGCACCCACGCTGGTAAGAGTGTGGGAGAGTGTTCCAGGCGGAGGGAATGGCCTGCTCAAAGGCCCTGAGGCGGGGCTGTGTCCAGTGGGTTGCGGCACAGCGAGGTGACCAGTGCGGCTGTGCAGAGTGAGTGAGGGGCAAGTGGGAGAAGTGGGGGCAGAGTGTGCAGGAGGTTTTGGCTTTTACTCCGAGTGAAGTGGGAACCCCTGGGGTGGGCGCATGCAGGGCTCCGGGCACATGGCAGTGCACGTTGCACACGTGGCCCCTGAGAGAAGCCTCCTGCCGTGGCAGAAGTAGCGTTGGTCGAGCCCAGACTGGACCCATTCTCCATTCCTGTGCTAGAAGCTCCTCCCTCTGAGGTTGGCGAGTGGCGGCCAGAAGTTCCACCAGCTAAAGGAGAGAAACAAGGCCAAGCGAAGGGTCCGGGGAACTTCTCTTCTGCGGAGGGGTGGCTGTGCCCTTCCTTCCTTCTCCCCTCAGCCTGGACACTGTTGTTCAGTGTCCCACAGGGCCCCCAGAAGGGGTGTCCCTCTCTGGTGCACAGGTGGGAGTTCCCTGCGGGCAGGCTGTCTCTGTCATCTGCTGCCTGCCCCTGGCTTCCGGGCAGAAACTCACCGAGACCAGGCCTGGGCTGAACCCTTCAGACACTTCCTCCATGTTGATCCCCCCAGCGGCCCTTTGAGAGCGCGTTCCCGTGGTCTCACTATGCGCGTGGAGTCCCTGAGGCGGGAGGAGGTTGGAGGCTGGCCCCTGCTCTGCCATGCACTGGCCATGGCCCCGAGCACCTCCTGTCCCCTCACAGCTACAGAGCCTCAGCGCAGGCGAGAAGGCAGCTTCCTGGGGCTCAGACCACAGAACAGAGTCTGCTGCAAACCCAGGTCCTGCGCGGCGCCTGCGCCCCGGGACGGGGGCCTCTGGGGAGGGCACGAGAATGTCACCAGCACTGCTTCCTCCGGCACTCTAACTTCTGCAGCACCTTCGTTCTTCTTCTTCTTCTTCTTTTTGGGTAAGATTTTATTTATTTATTTTTAGAGAGAGGGAAAAGGAGTGAGAAACATTGATATGAGAGAGAAACATCGATCGGTTGCGCGTCATAGGTGCCCCACCAGAGACCAAACCACAGCCCAGGCATGTGCCCTGACTGGGAATTGAACTGGTGATCTTTCACTTTGCAGGGCGATGCCCAACGGACTGAGCCACTCTGGTCAGGCCCACAGCACCTTAGTTTTAAAGCTGTTCTATTTCCTGATCCCAGAGGTCCCAGGGTCTGTGGGGCAGGACCCAGGGGCTGAGGATGTGGGAGGCACCGCCGACCCACAGGGGGGCCAGTCTCTCTAGTGCTCCCCACCCCGGCCTCAGGGGCAGATGGCGCAGCAGCTGAGAGTGGCCCTCCCAGCTGCCCACGCCACTCCCAGTGGGCAGCTGTCCTGGAGGCTCGGGCTGCCTCAGCCCCAGCAGCCCTGGACTCGTGGGCCAGGGGCAAAGGCTGTGTTCTCTCTGGAGAAGTCACATCTTTCTTAGGACCGAGGTGATTTCTGAAAGGATTTAACTTGCCCGCCTGCCACACAGGGAGTGTCCT